TTATCTTCCCCTCGTCTCTACTAGGCAAGTAGAGGTACCAATACTTTCGAAATTCATCACATCAGAAGCGAGAAAATAAGATATTTTGTCTTGAGTAGATTTTCGAGACTACGAGTAAATCAGATATGTGAGCTGTGTTCACGCTAATTCGTTTATGAGGTGATGAACGACTGATAGTGGAATTTTCCCACAATGATATGAGTAGGCATGACGTGTCCATTCAATTTCACAAAGCTCTGCTTTCCTAATAGTTGTGCCTATTCAGGATGAGGTGGACTGCAGTTTCGACCTCGCCTCGTCTTATCAACATCCCCAGCGGGACTCGAAGCATGAAGGTGCAGTGTATGATCTCAACACGTTAACCACTACGCAGCATTGTTACGAGTGCCCTTAAGTAATAGGGCAGATGTGAATTTCACCGAAGGCCAGGCGTTTTTCCATATCACATTCTCTGGTGGGATTGTTGATTAGGCAAAACTATATTTGCCATGAAAATTCAATTGAAAAGTCATGTCTACTCGTAGTATTGTAAGGAAATTCAACTACCAGTTCTTTATTACCGTAAAACGAAATAAGGTGAGCACAACTCATATAACTGATTTGATGCTAGTCTCGAAAACCTACTCAAAACGAAAAATAAGTAGTCCTATAGCAAATATAAATTTGCTTAGGTATGAAGACCAAGATGGTGTGGCCTTTTGTGTGGTCGCAACCTCTATAAGTTTGCTTAATCGACACTCCCAGCACAGAATGCGATATGAAACAGTGTCTGGCCTTCCTTGAAATTCACATCTGCTTTGTGACCCAAGGGCACTCGTGTCAATGCGGCTCAGTGGTTAAGGCGTTCAGATTATACATTTCACTGTCCCGCTGAGGGTGTTGATAAGACCTATACGAGGTCGAAACTGTAGTCGACCTTGGATGATAATAATTTTTGGGAAGACAAGGCTATATGAAATTGAATGTAAACGTCATGTCTACTCATATCATTGTTGGAAAATTAAACTACCAGTCCTTCCTCACTTTAAAACGATTTAGGATGATCATAGCTAATAAGAAAATGATAGTCAGAAATATTAATCACAATCATTTGGGAAATTTTGTTCATCACCTAGAATTTATAATCTGAATTTCTTAAACATGACTAAATGAAGGGCAACTCATGATTTCGCTAGTTTTAGGCTTAAGGAAAGCACTTTAAAATTAAATATTTTTTAAAGACGACGATAACCAGGTTATGACAGACATTGCCTGACCCTTCAAGATTAGAAGGCCCTTTTATCTTACATCTAGTATACGACTGGTTACATGATACGTTTTAAAAAACTAAAAACTAAGCAAAATAAAACATAATAAAATGACATATTAGGGTACAGTAAGAGCAGGGGTTAAATATATCGGTAGAGTGGATGAGAAAGTGGTAGAGCTGTCCAAAACAACCTTGGAAGCTGCCAATAGGGTATATTTTCAAAAAAAGGCTTGAACGCTACTCTGTTAAATAATAGACAAAATGATACAATTCATGGGACTAGAAGTAATATTTAATTTGAGGTTGTTTCTTTAATTTGCCTTCATTAAGAGATGCCAACCAAGAATCGGATGGCCAATAGCATCACAAAGAAACAGAGAAACAATGATTAATTAGCGCTGAGGGAAGAAAAAGGAGGGTCAGATAGGACAACCGAGATGAAGTGACCTTTTGTTTGGCCATAGTCTCCTTTAGCTGCATAGCGTTGGTCAGAACTCGTTTTCGCAACTTTGCCGGAACAACAGGGAGGCCTTGTGGAACGTACCTGGTTCATGAGGATTGTCAACATCGGACCGTTGGCATGGTGCATCTTCAGACGTTACACGGACACCATCAGTGAAAGGCGCCATCTTCAGCACATGGCCAGCAAAATGACCACTTTTCTATTTAACCATTGTGGCGTCACTCCCGCCCCTTATTCTTCTAGCATCTTATGTTGCATCTAGTGCTACTCCCAACCCCACTTCATATGGCCCATTTACCTGTTAAGATCATTCTGTGTTCTTGTTTGCTCCAATTTCGCCTAAAAGTGAAACATTGTGCAACGAGTGGGGAACTGGAGTAGAGCCACTGAATGCATACAATCCAAAACACATAAAGAATGGTCTCCATTTAGAATTATTGTAAAAAATAGAGGTGGCATGAAGCATGAACTGGCACAATGCACAATGATTGGCAACCGAGACATGGAAATGTTCAATAAGGAATTATTACAAATTGGTATAATGGAGGAAGGAGTAGAAGTAGTAAGTGAAAATAGAAAACGGGTATTTGCTTGTAAGTTTTGAGGCAGTGTCCATGCCCAATTACATTCTGGTAAATGGAGGGATACATGCTTTAGAATTAACTTTAGATCAGCATTAGAGTAGATATTGGTGAATTTAGCAATGAGCTGTACATATTTTCCTTTTAAAGAATGCACAAAAAAACACATGGCTTAGGTATATGGATGATTACTTTGCTGTTTGCGAAAATGACGAAGAGAGTCTTGAGGTAATAAAGAGAATGGATGGAAAGGCTGCATTCCCCTATAAATTAAAAAGGATGGTAATCATCCTTTTTTGCTTGTGCTGCTAAGTAAAGGAGGAACACAATTTGATAGAGATGAGTAGAGTTTTACTCCAAATTTCTTTTCCAGACATACTTATGTGGTTAGAGTGGGAGTAGTGTAAGAGATGGAAAAAAGAAGTCTGCGTCTAGGAGTATTTGAGAATAATATAAATTAGAATGAGATAAAAGATCTGCTCATGAAAAAGGTGAGCGAATTATGTATAAAATGGAGCATTAGGAAAATATTTTTTTAAATGACACTTTTTTCTTAACTACCTTTTCTACTGGAATTTTCTAATCCTTTCTCCAGTTCAAGTTATTACCAAGTTTCCTGCCCGTAGGAAAAAGTAGACGTGAGGGAAAGATGCAGACCCAAGCATGTGAACATAAAACAGCCCAAATGACTATCGACAAGAATGACTAGCACAGGCCTAAGGGTAGATTGGTATAGGGCAAAACTATTTTCAGGTTATGGAGAGTTCAAAAGTAAGCTGAAGATCAGGGGGCCTATAGAAATACGAAAAAAATTGGCCAACCTTTTAGATAAAAGGAAATAGTGTGGAAACGTGGATAGAAACTAATTGTGGCCGATGCATTGGCCTAGGGAGGGTAAGATGGGGAGAAATCAGGATGTGTGAAAGCGAGGTGAGACCACTGACATATGGTGGGGTGGGATTGTGAGATGAGGAGAAGACTTGGCTAGCCTCAAGGGGTCAAGCCCCTCAGACTTCACATGATACTTGAGAAGTGCAAACGAACGTCAGCACACACATTCACATACAAGTGATATCGGTTAGGATGATTCTGCCTCACAAGTCATCCTCAGCCATATCACTCGTCCACTAGTATGTAGAGGAAGCATGAATTTGCTTGAAAGTCATGAGAGGTCTTGACAAGTGGACAAAGTCACGCTAAAAGTCGGTAGGATTATAGCTGGTTTGATGATACTTTTCCAAAGAATTAGTTGACGTCCTGAAGAGATCTGAAAATGACGCGAGAGACGAATGCTCAGCACAAATTCATTGGTATTGAAGGGGGCTGTGCCGAGGATTTGTTTACGCAAAGTCATAGTTACAACTGCTCAAAGGTCAATTTACGGAATCCCTTCCATGCAGCCTTCCTACCGAACGAAACGAAGCGTACGACGAGGTTGATGTTACTAAGGGATTCTCCGGAGCCCAGCTCCTATTCATGTCCACGGGATATAACTTTGAAGATACCCCCTAAGAAGTGGGTGAAACTTAATTTGACTATGATTATGATTATGGCTATGTCTAGGAAGTGTTGCACAGAATGACTAGAACGAGCTGTTATGAGCGGAATTCGCCACTCAGAGAGCATCAGCGAAGCTGCGATTCATGATGGGATGAATAATACTCTGGGTTTTCAGGTGTTTACGAGTCCTAAAATGTTGCCCAAATCTCGCAGAGACTGGAGGGCACATTTCTCCTACCATCCCGTCGACATGAGGCTTGACGCCAGAAACTCGCCTCTCTATGGTGCAGACTTGACTACCTCAGTTGTAGTGCTTGTACTGGTCCCGAATAAGAACGCCCTCCGATCACATTCTGCCCATAAACCTTACTTGGGAGGCCTTCATTTGGTACGAAAGCGCATGAAGAAGAGATTCGTAGGCTGATCTCACCAGAAGATGACGTATGAATCTCGTTGTACTACAGCCGTTTGGCTTCAATACGACGTTCAGATTGACGCAGTCCACAAGACATCCTCCCTTGCTTCGGGTGAAAACGGGCTGAGCTTTCGTTCATCATATGATGGAAATCATCACAGCTGGAACTCACTCTTGTGAAAGTCTCACTTTAGCAAACATCAAGCCAAAAGATATGAAGACCTTTCGATATAGAGAAGTGGGTTGAACTCGTTTTCGCAACTTGGTCTCGTTGTCATGGCGACTTGGTTAGACGCAACTTGTCCGAAGTTCTCTGCCATAGTAGTACCTTGGGCTTGGTACATTCTCATAAGTTTCGCCGGCATCATCAGTCAGTTTTGCCATTCTCCGCACCACGTCCAGAGACAACACGTCAGAAACAAGTGAAACTTCTCTTTCTGTCTTGGCCCATCTATCTACTCCTTACCCTCCTATCCCACTCCCGGTCTGTCACAACTTCTGACTTGTTTACATTCCACCCGTCAAAATGTGTCATTCCTTTTGACGAATTTAGTGTGGCGTCATCATCGGCTAATCCGACTCGGGCCTCCTGTCTGGATCATCCCCATGGTCCGGTAGCGCCGTTTCTCATTTTTCCGGTTGACAGATTTCCCTTGGTTCAAGTCTTTAGAAACACATACATTGTCGCCTCACCGAGCAGATCGCCTAGTCTCTGATGGCCATGCTTGCAGACATTTGGCATTGCATTCATGCGTCGTCTAGTTGATTGAACCCGTGTCAACTGAGCAAACTATGAACGCCCATCCCTGGTCCTGGCTGTCTACTGCCTTTCGAGTGGATTTTTACCACATTTTGGCCATAATGCCAGACTTCTTTGACGGTTGTGATTATCCCTCTCGCGAGTTCCGTGACCGCCGAATGAGAAAGTCTTCGCTTGATTTCCGAACTTTATCCACACCTTTCCTCCTCGCAATCCCTTTTTCTCTGGTCAACGATAGGTTTTTCATCCAGTCTATGCGATGCGTTCTGCAGATTCTGTTCGTCTGGTATCCATTTTCCTGTAGGGTCTTTGATTTTCCTTGATTCGTATGCCGATTTTACTCCCTGTTTCGTCAGGCGCCGCGTGCCATGCAGTAAACTCCTGAAAAATCCTATTTGTCCACCCTCTCGTGTTGGGTGTGCAGACTTGTGAAGAGTGGTGCTTTTCTTTCGTGGTCACGTGAATATTCCATTTTCTTAAGATTTGTCGTAGCTTTTGAGCTAGTTCGCAGGAAAGGAGGCTTATCCACTTTTGTGAGTCTTTCGCTTGAGTAGCCGTTGCCGAGGCATATCCGGGTCAATTTGTCCCAGAATTCCACATCCGTTAATCGTAGTTGTGATGCAACTTAGAAATGAGTATTATCCTGGCATATGACTTCTTTCTGAAAAGTTTCCCCTCAAATGTCCAATTAGAGCGAGTGACTCCAACATCCAGGAAAGGTGGCTACATTACTTCTAAAGTAGTATTAGTCTTCCCGCATCATTTTCGTCAAGTGCCATTTCATTTCAGACACTCGTTTTCAATGTTCTGACACACCACAAAGAAAGTGACATGGAAAATGGTACAGGCTAGACAAAATGTCGTACCTACGAAAATAAGAGATGAGTCTTAAAAGTATACTTGTAGCCGGAACTTGTAGCCTCAGACGCTGACAATGAAACCGGTACAACGTCGCCCTCTCGGGTTGTCGTTTGTCGTCGAAGAATTTTCCATAATTTGTCCTTCTTTACTTGTTTGGCCCAAAGTAGAGCTGTTTTTTTGGGATAATTAGGCGATTCGCTCGCCTTTCTTCTTCCTCCTCCCCTCGTTTGGGCTCGAAATCTGGTCCGATCAGGCGTCAGATCGCGTCTCCATGCAAATATAGAGAACACAGTATGCTGGTACATTGTTATCTGATGATATTTGCCTCAGCGGGCGGGACAGATGAAAGTATATTGCGGATTTATCGCTATGGCAGGACGATGTGCCAAGTGTTTCTACACTCAAATGAACAGCAACAATGTAAGAGTGTCTGTCTTCCGGATTCCAACGAGACCATTTTCCAGATCCCCTCCGCCAACCCTCTAAAGCGAATTAAATGGCGTGACAGCATGAATCATTTAAAGGAAGTCTTCGAGACCCGGGCTACGCTTCATGCTCGATTCTATCGGTTATCGCTAGTTGTCATGTGTATGCTCGCGGAATAAGCAAGACGCAATAGGAATGGGACAAACTTCAAGTTCTATGATGTCTCGACTCTGTTAGGGACGCAAGAATAGCCGAAGTAAAGTAAGGGTGACTCATTTTATTATTCGGACACGATGATGGACAGCTTCATCAACTACTCATATAATTCAAGTAATAGCATCAATTATTATAAAACATATGGTGGTTGGGGTTGCGATTTTAACAGTTTCGTCATTCACCAAAAGCACCGCCAAGAAGAACAGTTCATACTCTTTCCAAGGCCAATGAAATGTCTCCGAGAAGTCTCGGACGGCATTCGGCCTCTACCTCGAGACTATTCTGACTTAATGGGGTGCATGATGGAGGGATCTGAACACCGAAAGACAGATGGTCTGAAAAACATACTTCCAAGAAGCCAAATTATCCCTACGCAAAGGTCTACAGAGTTTTTGTTTCCATTTTCCAGTGAAAGGGGTAGAGTAAGGCGAAATGATAGCTTTACAACCAGAAGTGGAGCAGTGATTGCAGGCATTAACAGGAGCCCGATCCGACCATACGGGCAAAATGTTCAGAGAAATCCGCCTACCATCTGATCCGTGTACAGAAGGTTGTTGAGGTACATGACCCACCAGTTCTGCCGGCAGTTATATGCGTCCGGCACCAAGGCGATATCCTGCGGGTAGAAGGGGCCCTCGCCCAGGAAAGGCAGCAGAGCTGTATAGGACAGCTCGACCATGAGAAAGGGTAGAGTCAACCTGAAGTAAAGATCTGGACCATTAATATGCCTGGATACTACTATTAGTAGATCATGAAAAAAAAGTATAATCCTCCAATTAGATCGTAGATATAAAGACCAAGATGGTGTTGGTTCGACCTTATTTACGCAACTTGGTCGGAGCGTCAAGGAGACCTCGAGGAACGTACCTAGTCCAGTGTCGTCTGTCGTAGAATTTGTGATTTCCCGCATTCAACCATTGGCTGGGCACCGTCCCAACGGTTGAACAGAAAAGTGGTCAAGGCGATTGCCTGCAATTGTCACTTTGATAGGTTGTACTTCTGTGCTTACGATGGCGCCTCTCACTGACAATGCCGGCGAAACGTTTGGGAATGTACCGAGCCAATGGTCCAATGCTGGAAATCACGAATACTATGGCAGGTCACCCTGACGCTACGACCAAGTTGCGAAACCAAACTCGAAACAGCACTATTATCATCCGAAATCATATAAGAAAAAAAAATTATACTTAACCTCGCCTCCTCATCCTCATATATATATATACATATATATATAACGCTTATAACCCTTTATAGATATATTATTAAATGTATATATATATATATATGGAGAGAGTATATATAT